TCCTCTTTAATCAGGGTTTTGTTTACTTGAACTTTCTTGTCAGTATTAATCCCAAATGTAGGTTTATTGTCTAGTAAACATCCAAAGGGGGATTTACTTTTCAATATTCTGTCCATTAATCACTGTACCGTTAAGAGAGAGGTAAGAACTTCTAAAAAAATGTCCTTACTCTTTGACACATTCAACAAATGATTAATTAAATGTCTCCATTTCCAAAAACAGGACGATGGAAAATGTCCTCTCTGTTTCATTTCATTCTCTTGAATACTTTTCACAGCAACACCTCAGCATGGGGTAAACAAAGCGTCTCGAGTTAAATACCCACGATGCTTCACTCATCACTACCCACAATGCTTCACTTCCACTCACCAGCAGGGCTCCGCGCAGGTTGATGCCGGTCTCTATGGTAACGTAGTATGACGCCTGCAGGAAGGTCCTCTGCAGGATCAACGCCAGGAAGAGAAGAACAGCGAGAACTGAGGGGTTCTGAAGCAGCTCGGTGGACGGTATGAAGTACACGTCCATTTTAGTGTTCTGTAACCACACACACACACACACACACACACACACACACACACACACACACACACACACATACACACACACACACACACACACACACACACACACCACACACACACACACACACACACACACACACAGAGATACATTAACAGGTGATATACTGTCTTTTTTTAAACCTGATCTAGAGTGCATTCATTGTTTATACCTCCTTATAGTGTTCATACTGTCTGTATTTATATTATCCTACGACAAACACTGTATTTTACTTGTTTGCACTTCTGGTTAGATGCTTAATGCATTTCTGTGCAATGACAATGGGTGCATCTCACTTCGGTTAAATGGATTCCTTGCGTCCTTCACTTGCGTCGTTTCCCTGCATCTAGTCCCTCCCACCATTGAAGCATGGAGAGACGCAAGGAAACCACGAGAAGCAGGGACATGAGTTTCAAGAGCAATGGGGCGTCGTTTCCTCCGGAGCGTCACGTGAAGCGACGTCCGTTTGTGATGACGCCGCACAGCTGATCGTCTGACAGCAGCCAGATCAGTGCATGCGCTGCATCGTCCAATCAGTGAGCGGTACACAGTAAGGGGGCGGGGCGAGTGTCTGAGGATTTCACCGGAGGATGGTCTGGTGGTTCCTCGGTTATCGCTCCTCCGTTATCGCTCCTCGATCCTCCGGCACAAATAAGGCCACTGGGACGGTACTCAAGACGGAGCAGACAAATCAACTTCCGGTGAGACCGAGCCCGAGGAGCGAGGAAATGAGCAATAACCGAAGAGACGCACCCAATAAAGGTGATTCTAATTTGTAGCTAGTAATTTGCAATTATCGATAAACCACTGAGGGTAAAATAATGAATGGAGCAGGGCATCAGAATCAGAACACTTTATTTATCCCAGGGGAAATTGGGCTTTGTGACATTTGCTAAATTGTTTAATTAAATAAAATAAATGACAAATAAATGTCAAAGGAAAAAGTAATATGTGTATAAACATGAAAAGTCAAAGTAAGTGCACACTTTTGCTTTAACTTAATTATCGTGTTTATATAAATATGTTATTATATCTTTATTTGAAACAGCTGTCAGACAACAAAGTTTTTTTGATAGACATCCAGAATAAAAAAATATCACAAAATATAGAATCATAATTATAAAAACATATAAACTCACATTTGCTACACTAATCATCATCGCATCCAATGCCTAAAGTAAAAGAAGAAGAAAAGAAAGATAATGAAAATTAGGAAAACAACAGAAATTCATCAAAAACATTTGAAATCATTGTAAAATATTTTTGGGCAGCTGGATTTGTTGGATTTGCCAGAAGTACTGTAGACTTCTATACAATCTTTTAGGTCTGGTCGGGGACTTGAACCGGAGACCCTACAGTTCCCAGTCCAAGCCCCTTCTGACTGAGCCACTGCCGGAAGTAAGGACATTTTCTCATAGACTTCTATACAATCTGAGGTAATAACACAAATGAAAATTAGCTAAATGTTCTCATGGACTTACCATCTTAGGTAATAAACAAGAGAAAACTAGGCTCTTTTTCTCATAGACTTATATACATTTGAAGGTAATACATCAAGAGAGAAGTAACATTCGAAAATAGTGAGCAATGGGAGTATTCCTTCCATATATTCCACTCTTAGCATGTGAAGGAATATATACACACACACATACACACACACACACACACACACACATACCATGTATACATCACTTCAGGGGACATTACATTGACTTACATGCATTTCCTGGAGACTTATCCTAACCATAACCATAACCAACATATGCCTAACCCTAACCCTAACCCTAACCAAGTCTTCACCCTAAAATTAATGATTCCCCTCATGGGGACCTCCATTTTGTCCCCATAAGGGAGGCGAGTCCCCACACGTGACTGTGTAAACAGATTTAGGTCCCCACAAGTATAGTAATGCTAGGACACACACACACACACGCACACAGAGCAGTAGCAGTAAAAGCACATAGTGATGCTCTGCAGGCCTGCGTGTGTCTTAAAGTGTGATGTGAGTGGAGAATGTTCCGTGTCACTCAGCCATGCAGCGCTGCTCTGCTCTTTATCTCCTGCCCATTATACCCACTTTAAAGGAAGGCAGAAGACCGGACAGCCTCTCACATCTCTAACAACATCCAGCCAAATGGACTGAATGAAAACACACTGCCATTACAGGAGCGTCTGCTGTGTGTAACGATGGATTTAAGAGGAGTCGAAGTCTGTGATCGGCTCTGCCAAATGGACCTTCTGCTTTCTCTCTGCCTGCACCCGCTTTGTTAAGCCGCCATCGGGAGATACTATTGTTTTTAGGTTATTGTATTAATAACTACAAGTTAGGGCTGCTCAATTCATCGTATTTTAATCGCAATTACGATTATGGCGTGCAACGATTACGAAAACAGCGTAATCGAAATAAAACGATTATTTTTTTAATATTATTATTACTTTTTTTTTTTTTTTTATTGGTTCTTCAGTTGAGTTATGTTTAAAGTTCAGGGTAATCAACTGTTAAAAACATACTGTTCAAATGTTTTTCTCCATTAAATTGATGTTTTCAAAGTAAATGGATAATCGTTTTTAATAATCGTGATATCAATTATTGACCCAAATAATCGAGATTATGATTTTTGCTGTAATCGAGCAGCCCTACTACAACTTTGATCCCGCTGATGTTGATTTATGAACTCCAAGGGCTGCACAATTTATCGTTTTTTTGTTCATTATGTCAACTAGTGTGCGATAAACACTTGCTTAAAGACTGCGATATTACACTCTGTCGCTTGATGAGGACGTTAAAAACAGTAGAAAAGTTCACATATGCAGCTATAACTAAGCCTGCACATTGATAGTAGTGCAGGCAATTCATTAATTAAGTCCCAGGCGTCTCCAACAATACAATAAAAAACATGAAACAGTGCAAGAGAGAGATAGAGTAAGCTTTAAGGAATGCATTACTTCAACAAAGGTCCACATATTAAAAGCTGTTTGGGGTAGAAGCGTTCATCGACCCAAACAAAGTGTTAGTTCACCCAAAGGTCAACACAAATGCAACTACAAGTGTGTGTGTGTAAAGTCATTTCAGGGCTTTATGACATTACAGACATATCCTTTCACACACTCAGACGTCACACACACTCTGGTGGTGACATGATGACTGTGATCTACGCCTCAGTGACATCAAACTGGCTTCAACATCAGGGTGAAATGTGGACAACCCATGATGTCATCATTTGGAGTTGATTTTGGTTTAACTGTAATTGAGTAAACGCTTTAATCCAACTTTGGTCGCATTGACGGCTCCAGGAACACCAGTCTAGAGACACGTTTAAATATCCAAAGTGATTCCTCAGGAGAGAAAATTAATGACGTTTACATTTCTCGTCTGAGTCTCAGTTTTCGATCACCACAGGCTGTTCAAATGCAACCCTCTTATCGCACTTTGTTCATCAATTTCTAAGGTAGTTTTCAATCAAATCAGTCCTTTTATATCTCACAGCTGTCAGCATATACTGAAGCCATTTGGAGCATTAAGACCCCGTTTACACGAGGACGATACGGGTTGTATCCGCATAGTTTCTCTTACGTATAGCCCTTTCGTTTACACGAGGCCGTAACAAAACGATAGAAACGGACCCCAAGGTGGATAGATCTGCAAACGGAACGGTCTGGGGGGTCAAGCGGCTCCGTGTGTACGCCCTATACGATCATTTCCTGATAACGATTAAATAGCCCCGCCTCCCTCTCCCCACCTTTCCCGCTCAGAGATCAGCTGCTGGGCTGTCCGAAGAGGGGGAGGAAAAGAGAGGCTCCGTTTTTTATTCTTATATTATTATATAGAGTCCTTATCAATTTGTTTTAAAGCTAAATAAATAACAAAGAAGACCTCTGACCGGCACTTTTCTAATTTTGTCCGGAAGATTTAAACTTTAAAGGACATGTTGACCGGCGAAACTCTGCCGCACGGTTCCCTCGTCCCTGCTGGTGGACTGCTGGTGGACTACCGGAGAGATTTACAGCAGGAGCACACGCCGTCCACCGCGGAGAATAAACAGAAGGGCAACCATGGCAACCAAGCTACGGGGTCTTCTTCGCTGCTTTTGGTGTATTTTGTGGCGGCAGCAGCGCCACTTACAGGCCCGGCATATGTACTACAGCGTTTCCAGCGGGTCGGGCGGTTTCGTGTGAACGGAAGACTTTTTGGAAAACGCATACGGTGCGTAAACTAAAACGTTCCCGTGTAAATGGGGTCTAAGCTGTTCTCTCTTCCAACAGCCTTGACTCTATCAATGACCCTGTGTAAACCTTCATAAGACTAATAGACTTTTAATTGAATTTTGAACTTAATGCAGTGCACTTTATCCATGCAACAACTTCCTCCAGCCTTTGATTTATCTTTGATTTCCCTGAGGAACGCCTCAAAGCATTTCCACAGAAGCAAGGATCTGCGTTTTCCCCTCCAGGTACTGGCAAAAGACGGGAATTGAACTTGACTGTGATTGAATTACTGATCACAAACAAATCCAAGACACCACCCTCACACTAAGAGCTGCTCTCAGCAAACCATTGGTTGTTTAATCATAGGGCAGATTAAAAAAACGAAAATCTTCAAGGTAAAATTATGTGTGTTTGATTATTTGATCAAGATTATCGTCTCGAAAGCTTAGAGGGGTTCTAGAGTTTAGTCCTCTTTAATTTATATCCCAATACCACAGATTACACGTACTGTATGTCTCTGTATGTCATTTTTCACATTTGGGTCGCGGACCACCAGTTGAGAAAGGATACAACATTTACAACAAAGACAGTCCTAAAGTATATATGTATTAAGAGAGAAAAATGGATCACGTGGATGCAACAATATTCCAGGTGCCTTTCATCTGTTATATTTAGAAGTTTTAAGGTCAAATGTAGACACACACACACACACACATACAACACACACACACCTCCTCTCCTACCTTGGCCTTGTCCTGCTCTGACAACTTGTCCTTCTTCAGGTACTTGACGATGCCGCAGATGCAGAGCGGCCCGGCGAAGCCCAGCAGGTCGGCCAGGTATCTGAAGGTGGAGCTGAGCAGGATGGGCCGTCCGAACGCTCGGTACATGGAGCGCCAGATGGACGGGGCTTTGTTGGGATCCTCTGCTGTCTGAGGGGGGAGGAGGGATTTAAAGGACCCCTAATATACTGTTCTTCATCAATATATCACAGGTCTCAGATATAAACAGAACCTGTCTCTGATTGGCTGAAACACCAAACAGATCATTGCAGCATTACCCATAATCCCCTCTGTTTCAGCCCTGTTTCCAAAGTGCTGATTCTCTGTCTGTTAATTTAGATGAAAATAAGGAGCCCCTCCCCACGCCCCTCTGAGAGACATTTGGTTACAAAGAACTCAATGGTGCTCTAGGAGGAGATTCAGGTGATAAGGGGGGGGGGGGGTTACCTTGTTGCTGATTGGCTAATGGTTACACAAGACAAAACATCGTTATGACATCATAAAGTGGCCAAAATCTGATCAGCTCATTTTCAGACAGGTTTTTATAGAAATGGATCAAAAAGAGAGAGAATCTTTGTTCCTGAAACTTTCAGAGTCTCTCATTAAACGTGACTAAATCATTCTTCTGATACTGTCACCATGTCAGATTTCGACCTCCTCCACTCACCCTCTGGTCCTCGTAGGCGTCTTTGAGCTTCAGGTAGTTGGTAAGCGCTCTCATGGCGATGGGCAGCTTCCCGATCTTCTTCAACTCGATCGGTCTCTTGTGGGCTCCGATAATCAGAGGATTCATCCACCAATATGTTGCCTAAAAAGTGTCAAGAATTTGTCCTGGTTACTCCGCTGACAGGTGATATTTTGTGATGAATAAATTATATCTTATGGCCTACATTTTTTAATAGAGTGCACCTTTTGTTGCATTTCAGTCGATCCTGATGGTATCTCTAATTGATTCGTTTATTGATATGATTTTTAACATTTTGTAAATTGTATTTATTTGTACCTATAATTTGGTTTGTAATTTTTATTATTTATTTATATATATTTTTGGGATTATTCATCTGTAAAATTAATTAATAGAATAAAATAATTTTTAAAAATACAATTAAAAATAGAAAATGTAAGAAATTCAATTAATTAAAAATGTAAAAATGTAACTTTAACATTGGAACATTACAAAATATATAAATACAAATTATTTTTTATGTTTCTGAGGGAAACAATAAAATACATATAAAAGTGTGTTTGTTTGTACCTTAGACAGCAGGTTGACAAACGGCTGCAGGAAGCGAACGCCTAAATCCTGCAAATCCTCGGGGGGTTTCACCTTCTGGGGGTTGGCAAAGAACACGTACTTCTACGGGGAGAGAAAAGGACAAAATTAATCAACCAAAATTGACAGACAACTTATTAATAAATTGCATAAAAATATCTATATTATATGGATGCCAAAAGCACATGGTGACCAAATCATTAAAAAAAATGCAATTGTTAATTACAACTTGTTTTTTTGTTTAAAAAGTGGCGTCAGATGCCTCCTCACCCTGACTCTGATGACGTTGATCTCCACGGCCATCAGCAGCCCGTACAGCAGCACCAACAGCGCCGTGATGCAGAACCTCAGGTGCTGAGGGCCCACCTCGTGCGATGCAAACTTCCACAGCTTGATGGACTTGGTGATGAACGCCAACACCCAGTAGATGAAGAGGACTGAGCAACAGGAGACAGGAGAGGGATGTGGTGTCGTATTAACGCACGGGTACATAACGGATCTTAAAATGTAACTTAAAATGTATATATATGAGCACAAGAAAATACTTCCTGAATATTCCTTGTGTCATTGTCTCTGATTTCTAAACATCAACGTGTGTTTCCAGGTGAATTTGTGAAAAACTAGTCTGATAAATGTCCTCAAGAGATGTCACTTGAGTCAGGTGTGGAGTAGGAAACATGATTACCAGCTCCAGAGTTGCATTGTGGGTAATGTCAGTGCCAGGTTTTAATAAGGAAATAGATTGGGTGAGAACATTTTGATTTCTTAGATTTGTACCCTTTTTTTGGATCCAACAATGTAATCGTAACACAATATGAAATCTGTCGAGTCCTCCTTTAAAAGCTTGAAATGATATACTGGATTATTAAAAGGGAACACCAAAAAAAGACGAGGTTTTAGCGTGTTACCGAGCAGCAGTTTGGGAAAGTTGGACGTTTTCTTGTCTTAAAATGTACATTAAAATATATATGAGCACTGAAAAGGGTGAACATTTTTTGATTTCTTAAGATTTGTATCCTTTTTTTGGATCCAACAATGTTATGCAAGTGCAATAATGAACGAGTTGAGTCCTCTTTTAAAAGCTGGAAAGGATGTACTAGTTTAATAAAAGGTTAAAGCTAAAACAGACAAGGTTTAATGAGTGTTACCGAGCAGCAGTTTGGGGAAGTTGGACGTCTCGATGTTGTGATAGTAAACGACTGATGTTGTCGCGGCGATGAAACCCATGAAGGCCGGCAAGAAGAGATGAAGGTGGGTGGTGGTCAGCATCATCCTACAGCAAGAGGGGGAAATATAAGAACTATTAACATGTGGATATTAAAAGGTTCATTTGGGCGAAAAGGAAGAAAAAAAGTAGTCAACTTTATTGTCAATCTTTCAGTTTGTGTGTACAGACAGAGAGATCGAAATACCGTTTCCCACAATCCCGAATACAAAAACAAATATATATGCAAATATGTATATTGCTATATATACTAGGGATGGGAATGATTCATCGAATATTCAAAATGATTCAGCGGTTAACCGTTTTTTTGGGGGTCGAATGTTCGAATATAAATTTGCTATCAAATTCCCATCCCTAATATATACACAACTAAAAGACACATTTATACATATACATATTAAAGGGGACCTATCATGAAAAATACACTTCTCTACGTCACCATGTGTCCCCGGTGTGTCGGGGAACTCACGCAGCGTCAGAAAATAAAACCCTCTCTTTTCCTCCGTACCCACATCTCTAAAAACGGGGAACAACGGAGCTGATCCAGATTTGCGTCCGATATGACGTCATATCTGAAATGTGGACCCACGGCCCAATCAGAAACGCTGCTATCAGAAACAATGCACGACTGTTTTGGACGTAATATGGTCGGTGTTTACATTAGCATCGCTAACACTCAGAGCTAACCTGTACTGGAGAGCATGTGTGTGAAGAAGCAGGAAGTAAAAAGGAACTCACCTTGTGGTATAACCGGCAAGAGAGAAAGCCTTTGAGCTCCAGACTGTTTCAGAGAGAACCCTTGATCTAATCATCCTTGCATTTCATCAGCATTTTAGACAGAGGCCGTTTCTCAATGTCGAGTGAACATGCTGCAGAGCCACTATTTCAAGTATACTACGTCATCGAGTGGCTCCGAAGGACTGTTTAAATGCATGTTAAATGCCCAGCATTGGCTCTGCAGCAGGTATACTCAATATTGAGAAACGGCCAGTATCTGCCCGGTTCCGCATGAGCCGGCATAAGCTCCGCCCCCTCTTATTTAAAAAAAATTCAGTTAAAAACAAAAAAAAGCTTTATTTTTTTATTTATACAGGTGTAAATCTCATTGAGACACAGGGTCTCATTCTCAAGAGAGACCTGTTTATACTCAGAATCAGCACTTTGGTGTCTTTGTCTCACTTGTCGGAGACGATACCCTCGGCGAACTCGCAGACGTGGACGAAGAGCAGCGAGAAAGTGAGGATCCACCTCATGTTGTGTCCGGGGAAATGAAGCCATGTGTTGTGATGAATCTGCACTTTGGAGCTCTGACTGCCCCAACCTGCGAAATAACGAGAGAGAGAGAGAGAGAGAGAGAGAGAGAGAGGAGAGAGGAGAGAGAGAGAGAGAGAGAGAGAGAGAGAGAGAGAGAGAGAGAGAGAGAGAGAGAGAGAGAGATTAATGTTAAATATGACGTTTTTTTCATAAAGGTGTAACATGTAGGAAAGGGAAAGAAGACAACGAATAATATGGTGGTACGGGCAAATACTACATTGTGTTTGAAAGTCCAATCATTGGAAAGGTTACTAAGTAAAAGTATGTAAAAATAAACAACAAAGTGCTCAGAGTATTCGAACTACGACATATTTAAATATAATAAAATACTTTTCAATGTATTTTCTCAAAGTTGATTTCTTGCTTTAACTGCACGTAAATATTAGATCATATATTTTACAAGTTTCCATAGGTGTTGTGTAAAGTTACTGAGTGTACAATATATTCCTCTGAGATGTTCCTAATGGAGTAAAAGTATAAAGTGACCTAGTATAAAATACACAAGTAAAATACAAATACCTTCAATTGTGTTATTCAAATAACTTGTAAATATACTTCAAACCCATTGTTTGACAAGTTTGAACCATTAAATACGTGGTTATTTGTGTGAAAACTGACTCAATTGATAATTAAACAGTCGCAGACACAAGTTTTAATGCTTGTATACAACACGAATCAGAATCGGGTTTATTGCCAGGTAGGTTCACACAAACGAGGAATTTGACTTGATGTCATGGTGCAGACATACAATATAAAACAAAGAATTAAATATAAAACAAAAAATCTTTAAGGACACTGTAATAAAATATAGTTAAATAGCAATCAAATAAAGCAGTAATTTACAGCGAAATAGAATGTAATGAATTATAGAATATAAAATATGAAATATGAAATAAGAATATGTGCAGTAAGCAGTATCATTGTGTGCATGAATGTAATGCATATAGAGTCTACGTTGTGTCAGTGGGGGGGCGGGCCTGGTTTAAAAGGCCGGTAGCGGAGGGGAAGAAACTGTTCAGGTGGCGAGAGGTTTTGGTCCTGATGGAGCGCAGCCTCCTGCAAGAGGGGAGGGGGCTGAACAGTTTGTGTCCAGGGAGGAAGGGGTCGGCCACTATCTTCCCTGCCCGCCTCAGGGTCCTGGAGGCGTGCAGGTCGTGGAGGGATGGCAGCGTTCTTCCTAAAGTCCACAACCATCTCCACCATCTTGAGAGCTCCAGGTGGTTGTCGCTGCACCAGGTCACCAGATGGTCCAGCCCCCACCTGTAGGCAGACTCCTCCCCACCAGAGATGAGTCCGATAAGGGTGGTGTCGTCTGAACTTCAGGAGCTTGACAGACTGGTGACTGGAGGTGCAGCTGTTCGTGTACAGGGAGAAGAGCAGAGGGGAAAGAACGCAGCCTTGAGGGGAACCGGTGCTGATGGTCCGGGGGTCAGAGACGTGTTTCCCCAGCCTCACGTGCTGCTTCCTGTCAGACAGGAAGTCTGTGATCCACCTGCAGGTGGAGTCGGGCACGTGCAGCTGGGAGAGCTTGTCCTGCAGCAGAGCCGGGATGATGGTGTTGAAGGCGGAGCTGAAGTCCACAAACAGGATCCTGGCGTAGGTTCCTGCTGTGTCCAGGTGCTGGAGGAGGAAGTGAAGGGCCATGTTGACAGCGTCGTCCACAGACCTGTTGGCTCTGTAGGCGAACTGCAGGGGGTCCAGGAGGGGGTCTGTGATGGATTTGATGTGGGACAGGACGAGGCGCTCAAAGGACTTCATAACCACAGAGGTCAGGGCGACGGGTCTGTAGTCATTTAATCCTGTGATCCTTGTTTTCTTGGGAACCGGGATGCTGGTGGAGGTTTTGAAGCATGCTGGGACGTGGCATGTCTCCAGTGAGGTGTTGAAGATGTCAGTAAACACAGGAGACAGCTGATCAGCACAGAGCTTCAGGGAGGAGGGGGAGACACTGTCAGGGCCAGCCGCTTTTCTGCTATTGGGTTTTCAAAGAAGTCTGTTTACATCCTTTTCATTGATTGAGAGAGAATTTGATGTGTCGGGGGAGGTCAGTGGTGTGGGAGAGTGGACACTGGAGGGGTCGTTCATGGAGAGTGAGGCTTTTGGCTAATTCACTTCATGGCAGTTTAAGTGTCAATTTAACTAATCAAACTGTAGTTTATTGGTAGAGAGAGTTCACAATACAGCAGCGTAGAGCCGCAGAGTATTTATTTATTTGTGAGGTTTGTTTCTGCTCTTAACTAAATGGAGCGCAGAGCTCAGGGGACGGAGACACAAACTGAAACCAGGAAGCTTCAATTAGTGAATCCTGAGGGAAAGCTGAGGGCATCTGGTGAGAGCTATTCCCATAAAACACACACACAGAACACACACACACAAATAAATAACCATGCATTCAGTAAACCTCATCTGTTTCTGTATTAGAGGTTCATTTAGAAGTCATTTCACGACACAGGCTTGCAAATTAAAAAGATAGAGAAAATACATTTACAAAATCATTTAAAGAATTCCCTCCTCCTTCCTTACTTCTTTTTAAATACCTTGAATTACTCTTTTAAAATGTCTTCCCTACTAGGGCTGGATAATATATGTATATTATTAATATTATTGTTATTACTGCTATTTGAAACTAGATTTATTTTAGAGGGTGCATTAAATGAAATTGAAGTAATTTTCTAAATGTAATTATTTGTCCTATTTTTCAAAAATCTTATTGTGTAAGTATGTAATGAAAGCACCAATAGTTTACTCACGCAATATCCAGACATTTGGTCAGATATATTGTTATAAAGCACTATTCCCAACAACCTCCTTCCTCCCTTTACTCCTCTTTTGCTTCCTCTCATCCTTCTTTTCTTCCTCGTTTCCTTTTTCTTCTGAACATACTACGTTTACTAATCATCAACAAAATAAAGCATATGTTTAAGAAGAAAAAGGGCAACTTGAAGAACGTTTTTAGTGAATATTATACAATCAAACCACCAAAATAACTGTTAACTGCTCTCCTTGCTGTCTCTGAGGAACTGCACACTGCTAAAGCAGCCTCCCTCTCCTCTGTCATCATCCTGTTGGACCTGTCTGCTGCATTCGACACGGTGAACCATCAGATCCTCCTTCACACTCTCCAAGAACTTGGAGTTTCAGGCTCTGCACTTTCCCTCCTGACCTCATACCTCAAAGACCGTACCTACAGGGTTACTTGGAGAGGGACCGAGTCCGACCCTCGTCAATTATCTACAGGGGTCCCTCAGGGCTCTGTTCTTGGTCCCCTCCTCTTCTCCTTGTACACAAACTCGCTCGGATCAGTCATTAGCCCGCATGGTTTTTCATACCACTGCTACGCTGATGACACCCAATTAATTCTGTCCTTTCCCCGCTCAGAGACCCAGGTCGTCGCACGCATCTCTGCTTGTCTAGCTGACATCTCTCAGTGGATGTCTGCTCATCACCTCAAGCTCAACCTTGACAAGACTGAGCTGCTTTTCCTTCCTGGAAAAGATTGTCCCACTCTTGACCTAACAATCCATATCGGCCCCTCTGTTGTTTCCCCGACTCAGACTGCAAGGAATCTGGGTGTGACCCTAGATAACAACCTGTCCTTCACTGCAAACATCGCTGCTACAACCCGCTGCTGCAGATACACGCTTTACAACATCAGGAGGATACGTCCCCTCCTGTCCTGGCCCTTCCTACATCCAGGACATGGTTAAACCGTACACCCCAGCACGTGCACTTCGCTCTGCATCAGCCAAACGGCTCGCTGCACCCTCGCTGCGAGGGGGACCCAAGTTCCCATCAGCAAAAACACGTGGGTTTGCTATCCTGGCTCCAAGATGGTGGAATGAGCTCCCCATTGACATCAGGACAGCAGAAAGCTTACACACCTTCCGGCGCAGACTGAAAACTCATCTCTTTCGACTCCACTTCGAGCGATAGAACTATTAACAAAGCACTTATATACTAATAAAGGACTGGCTTATCTAAAGCCAGTTGAGTAGCACTTGAAATGTTTGGCTCTATGAAACCTGATATACTTATATGATTCTGTTTTCTTCAAGGTTGTATCTTCCTGGTCGAATGCACTTATTGTAAGTCGCTTTGGATAAAAGCGTCAGCTAAATGAAATGTAATGTAACCTCATTGCTAATTATTCTAAAATATTTGTCCGTATTTTTGTTTTTATTGTGCTTTGATTTCCTCTTTGTTTAAGCATTTCCTGCAGGAGCCCACACTGATCACTGAACTGTTGTAATCCCAAATTTGCTCTTCAAAGCTGCCTAATGTTCACACTGCCGACAGGAAAGTGACTCAAAACGTGTGTGTGTGTGTGTGTGTGTGTGTGTGTGTGTGTGTGTGTGTGTGTGTGTGTGTGTGTGTGTGTGTGGCCTAGCATTACTATACTTGTGTGGACCTAAATCTGTTTACACAGTCACGTGTGGGGACTCGCCTCCCTTATGGGGACAAAATGGAGGTCTCCATGAGGAGTATCATTAATTTTAGGGTGAAGATTTTGTTAGGGTTAGGCATGTGTTGGTTATGGTTAAGGTTAGGATAAGTCTCCAGGAAATGCATGTAAGTCAATGTAATGTCCCCTGAAGTGATGTATACATGTGATGTATACGTGTGTGTGTGTGTGTGTGTGTGTGTGTGTGTGTGTGTGTGTGTGTGTGTGTGTGTGTGTGTGTGTGTGTGTGTGTGTGTGTGTGTGTGTGTGTGTGTGTGTGTGTGTGTGTGTGTGTGTGTGTGTGTGTGTGTGTGTGTGTGTGTTAGTAGGAAAGTCAATATCACCCACACATCTGCTCTCAGCCAGCTGACAGATTATTGTCACACATCTCAGCAGGAAGCATCAGTTCCTCTCCTCACAGTGTTTTCACTGTCTTTCTGATCACATTCAAGTCAGGAAAACTCACGAGAAACGTCCTGATCAACATCGTTTCTGATCCATTTATGTTGAGCTTTCAATACGAGTAAGTAAGTACTAAGAAGCAAAAGATAAAGATTGGGAAACTCCAGTGGGCTTTTTCCTAATAGTTCAACCTCTGTAAGCATTAAAGCCTAAAAACAGACGGTCCAATAACTTCAATAAAATGGTGCAGAACTATGACAGAGAAGAGGACCTACAACTACGGTAAGATTCAACATGTTGCCCTCTCATCAGCAGGAGAGGACTCTTTAAAGTAGAGACACTAAATACTGATATACACCTGAACATCAGCAGGAGAGGACTCTTTAAAGTATAGACACTACATACTGATATACACCTGAACATCAGCAGGAGAGGACTCTTTAAAGTATAGACACTACATACTGATATACACCTGAACATCAGCAGGAGAGGACTCTTTAAAGTAGAGACACTACATACTGATATACACCTGAACATCAGCAGGAGAGGACTCTTTAAATTAGAGACATTACATACTGATATACACCTGAACATCAGCAGGAGAGGACTCTTTAAAGTAGAGACATTACATACTGATATACACCTGAACATCAGCAGGAGAGGACTCTTTAAAGTAGAGACACTACATACTGATATACACCTGAACATCAGCAGGAGAGGACTCTTTAAAGTAGAGACACTACATACTGATATACACCTGAACATCAGCAGGAGAGGACTCTTTAAAGTAGAGACACTACATACTGATATACACCTGAACATCAGCAGGAGAGGACTCTTTAAAGTAGAGACACTACATACTGATATACACCTGAACATCAGCAGGAGAGGACTCTTTAAAGTAGAGACACTACATACTGATATACACCTGAACATCAGCAGGAGAGGACTCTTTAAAGTAGAGACACTACATACTGATATACACCTGAACATCAGCAGGAGAGGACTCTTTAAAGTAGAGACACTACATACTGATATACACCTGAACATCAGCAGGAGAGGACTCTTTAAAGTAGAGACACTACATACTGATATACACCTGAACATCAGCAGGAGAGGACTCTTTAAAGTAGAGACAATACATACTGATACACACCTGAACATCAGCAGGAGAGGACTCTTTAAAGTAGAGACACTACACACTGATATACACCTGAACATCAGCAGAATATGTCGTCTTTAAATATGTAAACTGATTCCACACTCTTGCAGTCAGAAAGTGGTTTAACAAAAGCTTGCAGGAAACTCAAAACTAAAGTGTGATTACTGACCCTTATCAAGGAGACATAAAAGTGTCCATACTAGTTGTAAAAGCTCCATGTAACCAGGTATTTTGTTGGGGTTACAATGGTACATTTTTTAACATATCGCCTAACCGTAATACTCTATTGTTGATACTGTGAAGTTAGAAGTGTTAGGGTTCATGATAAATAAAGGTAACTTGGGTTTAGGCATTAAGGAGGTATGTTTAAGGTCTAAGGTTGTTGTTTTTATGTACTAATGTCACACAGGAAAACATGTTTTTGCACAATCTGATGGTTAATAAAAAGTGTGTATTTCCCATGCTGTATAAAAGCACTTTTCAATTCCCCTGACGTACCGATGAAGAGGATGGGGAAGGTGATGAAGAGCAGGAAGACATGGGGCACCAGGTTGAGAGCGTCCACGAAGCAGCCATTGTTCAGCGTGCCTTGCACCACGCTGTAGGGATTGATACCTTTGTCGTTTCCACAAAACGACAAGGCCATGCCCCCCCCACACTGCTCCACACAGGCCTCCAGTCACTCTGTGGGGACAAAACACACACACAAAATAAAGATCAGAACACACACACAAGTTATGGAGGCCAAAATCTGCAAAAATAAACTTTATATTAAGGTACACTTATTCACCATCAACTAGTTGTTCATTAACATATTAGTCAAACTATAGCTTATTGGTTATGAACAAGACTTCACTTTAAAATAGGGAACTTATTCTGAGTTAGAAATACCACATTTTGAGGTATTTTGACACAATTAACACTTTTTTGTTTCATGTCTTGTTACATAAGAATAGACCATATTTGTTAAGTGTTATTATGGGAGGATTACTATTCTTGTAGTGCTGCTACTGCATATTGAGCAAAGCATATTAAGACTGTCTCTCGTACAACAACATCTTTACTTACAATAAATAAGCACTAATTAGAGGGTTATTGAGGAAAAACTCTTAACTAATGGCCAAGTGCTTGTAGAATATGGTCATGTTAGAATAAAGCATTCATAATTGTTTAATACTGACTAATAAAGAGCCCATATATTGCTTATATGCATGTTAATTAACTACTAGTTGATGGTGAATATGTGTACCTTAAAGGTGGGGTAGGTCATTTTGGAGAAACCAGCTCGAGTGCGCTAGAATGTGAAAATACACAACCGGAACAAATCTGCCACTTCCTCACAGAGCCCCTCCTCCAACACACACGAACGCGCACATGACCAATGAGGGCACGAGGTAAGTTTGTGCCCAGATGGAAGGCTGACAGGCAGGTAGGCCATCCAGTTACTTTAGCCGGGCCGGCTCAGATGATTGGTCGTGCTTTTTACAGCGCCACGGCTTCAACAGGTGACGGTTTTTTATGGATTTATTGTCAAAGCACAGTTAAACACAGTTAAAGAAGAGAAAAAGCAAGAAAAACAACCCAAAAAATGTAACAATTATAAAAAACGATGCCGTGTTGTTACTAATGTTACTGTAATCTCTATGACCCTTAAAATGATCACTCTGTGTCCCTGACGGAGCTTTGGCTTGAACTCCAGAGACTAGGTCACACATTTTTGTAGCATGTCAAAAGCTCAAGTGCACACATACTCGCTCACACACACACACACACACACACACACACACACACACACACACACACACACACACACACACACACACACACACACAACACACACACACACACACACATACACACACACACACACACATACACACACATACACACACACACACACACACACACACATACTCGCTCACACACACACACACACCACACACACACACACACACACACACACGCACGCACACACACCACACACACACACACATGCAGGCCAGTGTGAGACATGAGAGCTATTTAAGGGCCGCCGCCCAACTACATTACTGTATTACTGTTAAATGAATTTAGAGTTGGAACGGGTTGTAGTGTCACGTCTTGTCGTGGCGCCATTACTTGAGTTTCAGGAGACTCGTGTTGTTGTTTTTAAGTTAGCAATGGCTTCAATGTCTGCTTTCAAGGTTTAAAAACAATATCACAATGTGCTAAAAAAAATTAAAATGCTGCTCCCTAAGTAGTGCAACGATTCCCACTTCAAATAACACACTTCCACTTATAATTATTATATAATTATTACATTATCGACAAAATAGTTGGTGTTTCTGTCTCTACAAAACTTTCTTTTACAGTGTAATTATTACTGCCTCCATCGCTGAGGTTATGTCGTTGATTTGTTGTTTTGTTTGTCCATTTGTCAACAGGAATAAGGAACAACAACAGGCCCAAATGTAATAAAAGCTTAGCATCGGGAGAAAGAAACCACGAGTTTTGTGGGAACAAGTGTTACGTTTTCAAGCTTAATATTAACAATAATTCATGTAATTTAAACATTTTATATCTCTTTGATTTTTTGCTTATTATTCCTGCTTAAGTTATACGTAATTCTGCCTCGATCATTGTATGTTGATATAAAAGGGTTCACTGTAATGTGAAAGCTTTCTACTGACATTATTTTCCAAAAACAAATACGATTCTTTACATTTACATTATCTTTTCAATTTACACACGGCATCTATTGCACGTCTGTCCGTCCTGGGAGAGGGATCCCTCCTCTGTTGCTCTCCCTGAGGTTTCTCCCATTTTTCCCTTTAAACTGTGGGTTTTCTTCGGAAGTGTTTCCTTGTACGATGTGAGGGTCTAAGGACAGAGGGTGTCGTATTGTCATACTGATATTTTGTACAAACTGTAAAGTCCACTGAGACAAATGTAACATTTGTGATATTGGGCTATATAAATAAACATTGATTGATTGATATGTGAAGTGCCTGAATAATAATTGTCTGCTAGTCAGGATTTAAAGCCTGATATCGATGCCCTCAAATTAATCAGTGAGTTGACCTTGAACATTATTAGGCAGAACATAGTTTGGTTTGATGTAACACTGTGGCTGCACTGCCCCAACTTTTTTTGGAGGAAACTCAAAATCCTCACTTAATATTTGTATTTTGTGGTGAGTCAGTTCAGGTGGAGACTGTGATCTGTTGTAAAGAACGTGTGTAGCACTTGAAATTGCACTTGTTTGTCTTAATAAATGTCAGTTTGGTCATAACGTTGTGCGTCTCAATATGTGGACATTTTCTGAATGTACTTGTAGCCTACTTATTTGCACTTAAACAGAAATATTGTCGTTATGTAGGGCCTGTGGGTTATTATGAGATCAAAGTGGGCAGTGTGTGACCCCTTAACTGAAATTACATTACATTACATGTCACTTGTTAGACGCTTTTATCCAAAGCGACTAACATACTCAATACTGTGGACAATCCCCCCTGGGCGCCATTCAAAATGGCAGCACACTGCTCCTAACACTAGGATGGGTCAAATGCAGAGAAACAATTTCCCTACGGGGATTAATAAAGTATATCAAAATCAAAAAATAAATAAATAAATCCCCACAGGAGCAATTTGGGGTGAAGAGTCTCAGGGACAGAACGACATGCTGACTGCAGTGGGGTTTGAACCCTGATCCGAACACCTAAGGACAATCCACTGCACCACACGCCTGATGAGTTTGCCACTCCTGCGTTAACTCATTGGTTTGTGGGGGTTTTAGGTTTTAATAGCCGCTTTTTGTTGCCATTGTTTGTAGTATTTCCATCCACATAGAGAACCGCAGTGACGCTAAAACCCGGATGTAAACTCCTTCCGGTTCCTTCGCCAAAAACGCAATGCAATGTCTCCATAGGGTTTTGGAAAATAGCTGGAAATCAGGTCTGTGGTTGAGACACATTGAAGAGACGGATCACGTTTTGTTCAGAAGATAATCTCCACATGTCTACTTTTATCATTTTCTAATCATAAATCTAGTCGCCAGAAGCTAAATGCTAACGTTATGCTATAAAGGAGCTACAGCAGGGTCGCTGCTTCAACGTCACGCCAACTTAAGATCCATATTCAAACACACAGATTCTAAATGGTACGAGTTGAAGCGTTTGTTTGAACACTTTGCAGGAGGCAGGGACTTGCTTTCAAGCAGAATAGAAACTAACTTAGAGGAGTGTTCACGTGTTCGGCGTAATGACGTACAACGTCCTGGACAACTTCTGTAGTCCTATTCAGCCACTTGGTAACAACCATCGTTTTTCAGACACGTAAACTCTTCAGAAATCACCAGTGGGGTCACTGCTGATGGATTTAATGTCGTAGAACAAAACGTGATCCGTCTCTTCAATGTGTCTCAACCACAGACCTTAGTTCAGATATTATCCTAAACCCTACAGAGGAGTTGCTTTTTATCGAAGGAACCGGACGTGGTAAAAATGCTAACTACTTCCGGGTTTTAGGATGCGTCACTGCGGTTCTCTATAGAGGACATTTACACACATTCAATTTGTTCTCCATTCAAAAAACAAAAACAAAGATGGCCACCACATGTAGCGGCCATCTTTGTTTTGGGACAGTACATGTTTTGTTTCCAAAATGTCGAGAAATCGCGCCTTTTTAGGACAAACTAAACATACAAACTCATAACAGATAAATACATGAAGTTCCAGTGGTGATTTAAGATGTTTCTGTTTGCCAGAATTTAAGCCAACTGCTCCAAAATGACAAAACCATACCATTTTAACCCCAAAAATAATTCAAAATTCTGACAATTTCTTCAATTTATCATTTGGTTTCCATATAAATGTCACTTTTACTTGTATTAATTGGCCTTACTGACATATAGGGGGCATAATGGAAGTTGTTTAGCTAACGTTAGGACCGTTGACACCCTAAATAATAGACGATAACTTTAACACTGATTAAAATATAAGGCTTTATTTGTAATGCACTTTTCATACAACAGGTGCAGCTCAAAGTGCTTTAAAGACATGGCACACGTCACAAATTAAACACCAAAAATCGCTAAATCCTTGTGAATAATATGCACATAATACAGATCAAAAAGGGGACGCGCTAATACAAAGCTAATGTGTCTTTAGCTGTAGTTAAAAAATGGCCACAAGCATAAATATATCAAGAATAAGTTACATTTAAATAAGAAAAAGGAACACCTGCGTTTGACTAGAGTCATTTTAATCAAATAAAACAACTTTTAAATACTAAAATAAGCTATCACAATGTTAAATTGGGTCATTAAATTAAGCTTAATTGTAACAGGAAAGTCTCTTACCTCGAAAAATACAAGTAATTATCCTTAATGACAGCGTTTCATTCCGGGACTCTGTTTTTCTTTTCTTTTTTTTAAAGATATGAAAGAGAGACAGAAAGAGAGAGTACAGTGAGAGTTGAAGTGTAAAAAGTTGAATATTTTTAGCCCCAGCTCAGCATCAGCTGCTCCGCATGTTAGTGCTGCCAGGCTGTGACACAGGGTCAAGTTACAGCGGAGAGAAAACACAGCTTCCGGTGGGATCCTTCAAAATAAAAGACTAGAACATTATTGATTAAAAAAGACTAAAACTAAACCATGATTATATTGTCTATATACACTGTACATGTTACATTCATTTTTTATTTAACTTGTATATTTTCTACTTTTTAACGCTGTTTTATTTCTATTTTAAGATGTTTAAATGTTAGAATTGTTTATTTCTCTTTTAATTTCTACTTATGTGCAATGTGTTGTTTTTTATGCTGCTGCAACACAAACATTCCCAAATTTGGGATCAATAAAGTACATCTATCTTATGTTCTTTGTTCTCAATATAAATCTCATTATTTTGAAATATCAAAAGCGAAAAACAAAGACACATAACGTATCGCTTTAAATCCAAAAGCAGATAATTGTTTGATATATATAAAAAAAGAATACCAAGCAAATAATAATAGTATAATAAATAAAAATTCCCATAAATTAAAATGCTATTTAAAAAGGGGAAATATTCCATGGTCTCCAAGACATATAACAACTTAACAACATTATCCTTTGACTTGCAGTCAATTCAAAGCACTAGCAAGCATCTAAATGTAACCGGTGTCGTTAAGCGGTCTCTGCGTTGTGTTTTGTGTTGTTCATGGACGAGACCCGAGCCAGCATACAGTTTAGACCACATGTGTCAAACTCAAATACACAGTGGGCCAAAGTTTAAAAATGGGTACTAGTCGAGGGCCGGACTGGTTCAATGTTTCTTGCAGAACTTATTGAAATGAACTTATTGCACATATTAAACCTGGAACTAACAAAGCTTAAATGATTGCCTACAAAAACAACATTCAACATTAAATAATCAGTTGCATTCATTTCTTACGGCTCTATCTGCAGCTTTTCCAGAGTCACTTCTTATGATTACATTTTCCCCACAGGCCAACAACAGCTTCAACAAAACTATTTCCCTCAAAGAGAAAACCAAACATGCCCTGTTGTCGTGAGAGAAAGTGCAGAAGGAAGCATCCATTGAACTCAGTGTGCTGCTCTGTGATGCTAGCTCAGATACTTGGCATCTCATCTTGGGTGCAAGGTCATCAATGTTTGGGCTCAGGCTCTGAGCTGAGGAGACCCTCAGGATGGAGTGAAGGCGTGCGTGCAATATACCGGCGGGCCAGATCTAATAGGAATTAGAAATTATCCTGCGGGCCGAAATTAAATCCATCAAGGGCCGGATTTGGCCCCCGGGCCTCGAGTTTGCCACATGTGGTTTAGACGATCTCCGTTTAATCACTGACAACAGATATAACAATCAGTCTTATATTACATTTCCCTCACAGCGACTCCTCTCACGTGGAACATTTACAAAAAGGGCAGAGGAAACGTGAGGGACACAATATATAGGGGGGGGGGGGGAAGTCCTCACAACAATAATCTCCTGAGCACAGCGACCACACTTCAGAGGTTCCGCCCACTGATCTCCGACCTTGTCAGGTATTGAACATTCAATAAATGAAGAACACAGAATTACTTACTTAATATAAAACACAGAATTTGTGTGATTATACAAAATGATTTACAAATAAACCCCACTGCATATTTACAACTGTTACTTAACAACTGTTTTTGTAAAGCACTTTGAATTGCCTTGTGTTGAAAGGTGCTATATAAATAAGCTTGCCTTGCCTTAAATGTACTGTGGAAACCACTTAAGGCAATACAATGAAGAATTAAACAGGTGTCCTCTACGAATCCCCCTTTAAAACCATTTCCTTTTTAAAAATAATCAATAAAACCATTAACCAATTGCCCAACAGGGACCCTAATGGCATAAAGAAGGAAGGGTGGTTTTCTCATTAAGTAACTGCTTATGCTGTTGTTGACCTTTATTGGCACACATGTTGCACCTTCTGGATGAAGTCATGCATTATATAACGTACTTGTGCTCTCCTTTTTTCTCATATACTGCAACCTATTGTCATGTTCACCTCCAAGGCCACTGCCGAGGTGCCCTTGAGCAAGCCACCTAACCTCGAAACTGCTCCCTTGGCGCCGGGTACCTGGCAGCCTCTCTGCTCTGCCACCTCTCCTATCTGTGTGTGTGTGTGTGTGTGTGTGTGTGTGTGTGTGTATATCCTCTGTGTTTGTGCATGTATATCCTCTGTGTGTGTGCATGTATATCCTCTGTGTGTGTGTGTGTGTGTGTGTGTGTGTGTGTGTGTGTGTGTGTGTGTGTGTGTGTGTGTGTGTATCCTCTGTGTTTGTGCATGTATATCCTCTGTGTTTGTGCATGTATATCCTCTGTGTGTGTGCATGTATATCCTCTGTGTGTGAGTGTGTGTGTGTGTATGTGTATGTGTGTGTGTGTGTGGTGTGTGTGTGTGTGTGTGTGTGTGTGTGTGTGTGTGTGTGTGTGTGTGTGTGTGTGTGTGTGTGTGTGCATGTATATCATCTGTGTTTGTGCATGTATATCCTCTGTGTTTGTGCATGTATATCCTCTGTGTGTGTGTGTGTGTGTGTGTGTGTGTGTGTGTGTGTGTGTGTGTGTGTGTGTGTGTGTGTGTGTGTGTGTGTGAGAGTGTGTGTGTGTGTGTGTGTGTGTGTGTGTGTATGTGGGTATGTGTGTGTGTGTGTGTGTGTGTGTGTGTGTGTGTGTGTGTGTGTGTGTGTGTGTGTGTGTGTGTGCATGTATATCCTCTGTGTGTGTGCATGTATATCCTCTGTGTTTGTGCATGTATATCCTCTGTGTTTGTGCATGTATATCCTCTGTGTGTGTGCATGTCCTCTGTGTGTGTGCATGTATATCCTCTGTGTGTGTGCATGTCCTCTGTGTGTGTGCATGTATATCCTCTGTGTTTGTGCATGTATATCCTCTGTGTGTGTGCATATCCTCCCCTGTGTGTGTAATGTGTGTAAACACAACAGAGTGGGTTAAGGAATTTCCCTGTAAGGGATTAATAAAGTGTATATCTTCTTCTTCTTTAGAAGTGTTATTTTTATTGGTGTATTTTGCTCCTTTTTGCATCCAATTTCTCCAAAGCCTGCACTCAATTTGACCTTTTTTCTGTCGTTATCTTATTTTGAAGGAGTAATAATCGTTATATCCGGATAAAGAATGCTTCATTTTTGCAAACTTGATAGGACGTCCCCTCCTATCAGATTTCCAAACTTGAAGCAGTTTATTGGTGAGAAGGGGGTTCATTATGAGCTGCTTTTACAACAACTGGCATGTCAGTTTATAGACCTGCAACTACAGTACAGTATAGGCCATGCTGTCTTTTATCAATTGCATGTACAATACTTTGATTAAATCCCTGCAGCTGACAAAAAAAACCTGGTTAAAATATGTTTTAAACACTGAACAATTAGTCTGCCATTAGCTTGAAGGGGTTTCATGATAAGAACAAGAAATACCAAAACAATAAATAACATTAAATGACAGAAAATCACCCAATAATTGGACAAAATCCAACACTCTGGCTTGCAAATAGATAATCTTTTACAGAAAAAGAATCCAAGTAAACAAATGTGGATGTTTTATGAAACTAGTTTTTAGAGAGTAAACAGTGGCACACAGGAACAACATTTATGTATAATGATTAACAGTCTCAAATGATAATCTGATCGGATGTCGGCTGCACGCATGCACAGCAGATAATTGATATTTCATCCAGATCTGAGAGGATTCAAAGCGCTTTGGCATCAAAACGTCGCAGAGAAGACATTGGATCCGGTCAGCTGAGTGCACTGACTCGAACACTGTCATTGGCAGTGGACTAAAATGACATTTATTGATATAAGCTTCTGAATCAACCACAAAAATATGCAATAAATACACTTCTTTATCATACAAATAGCACATAAAACTGGTGTATTTTACGTATCGTGCAGGCAGCATAACCTACAATATCATTGATGTTGACATTACCAAAACTCCATTGAGAAGTCAAACAATTAAGAGTTTTTCACATATAGACGAATACTTATATCTTTAACAGTGGGTTTGATGAGTATTCCCGAAGTGACTGGATTTAATCTTAAATTCGGCTTTAATCAAAATTAATTTAGGAAGACTTTTCTCTATAAAACTTTAAACTTTTTGAACCGTCCCGCCTGTAATGAACAAAGCCCGCGTCCTGATAGAGAAAAGTGATATATGGTGAGCAGCATCTAACACCAATGAACATAGGCTTATATTTTCCTTTTGTGTGTATTAAACTAATGCCGAATACAAGATTTGCCTTCTATTAAATCATATATTATGTCATTTTGAATTTGTATTACATACATTTTGGTTGGAAGGCAAAACTCCCTTAAATTATCAGAGGTTTCAATGGAGTCTGGCGTATGGTGACATTAAAAAACGCTACAAACTGAACATCGTATTACACCACGCTGAGGATGTTGGTAATGAATGACAGAAAGAACAAAAAAGGAAAGCCTTCCCCAACACTTACCCGTCCTCTGACGCAGGTTTTTGGGGTCAAATCGTCCCCCACTTTCCCCGGATCTTAATGTCCAGTGCGCGTCGTCTTAGAATAATGTGGTTTATACTAAAGGTATGGGGACAGGAAATGCCTATATGACATTTACTGTCGTGTCGACTCAAAAATCCCCCCCCCACACACACATACAGACACACGCACACAAATACTCCTTCATTAAATATGGTGGCTGCCCTTTTCTCAGATGAAATTGTTGATAGTACTGTACGATGCAAATATGTAGGTCAAATCAAAGCCGAATAAGCAAAGATAAATCGAGGGTATGTGAACATTTGTGTTGTTATGCACGTTGGATGAACATTTTGTTATTTAATATACAACTAGTGCACATTTTCTGAGAGCACAGCAGCAGATAATGCGGAAAGCCTGGAGTTTAATGTTATTTTAGGGCTCTGGTTATTATTAGAATAAGACACACATCTATTGACACACTTGCACGTGTCTCAAACGGTGGAAGGAATTGAATAGTCGTTATATATTTGTATTAAGCAGCAAGGTAATGTATATTAATAATTTTAACATCCTATAATGGTCCAACATAAATGACATCCATTATGACTTTCTGTCCACCTGCGCAGCATTTTATTTAGAAATTTGAAGTATTTGTATACCAATGAACCGTAAGAGGGCGCTGTGTATTCAAAATATGTGCGCGCGCGTGTGTGTGTTTATATCACAGCTATGGGACAGTGTGAGGAGATTCTCATCCACCAGTGTTTCCCAAGAAACTGTGAAGGGAAGAACTTGACCTCTGACCCCCCCCCTACACACACACACACACAAATATAAATGTGCCATACCCCCATAACCCATCATCTCCCCTGAGGTCTGATAAATACTCCCACTCACCCTCTCTTCCTCTGTTTCTGCATGTACACACACATGTACACACACGTAAGTAAGTAAGTAAAGAAATCAAGGAAAAATCCGACAGCTGTTGACCTTCATGTCACCAGAGGAGGAAGTAGCACTCGAGACACACAGATAGTGATGAATTAAGATTTCCAGTATTGAATACAATCCTGGATTAAAGGAACGAGCATGATTAAGAAAACACCTGTAATATAATTTTAATTCCATCAGTGTGATCAGTTTTCTGTGTGTGGTTACACTCAGCAGCGTGAGAAAGCTCTCTCCTGAGGAAAGTGCTTGACCGACCCCGAACAGGAAGTGGGGACCATGTCTCTCCACAGAACACACAAACAGTAATGTTGTATATTTTAAAGAAGACATATTATTCTCATTTCCAGGTAGTAGTGTATCTACTTTAAAGAGTCCTCTCCTGCTGATGTTCAGGTGTATATCAGTAGTGTCTCTACTTTAAAGAGTCCTCTCCTGCTGATGTTCAGGTGTATATCAGTAGTGTCTCTACTTTAAAGAGTCCTCTCCTGCTGATGTTCAGGTGTATATCAGTATGTAGTGTCTCTACTTTAAAGAGTCCTCTCCTGCTGATGTTCAGGTGTATATCAGTATGTAGTGTCTCTACTTTAAAGAGTCCTCTCCTGCTGATGTTCAGGTGTATATCAGTATGTAGTGTCTCTACTTTAAAGAGTCCTCTCCTCCTGATGTTCAGGTGTATATGTAGTGTCTCTACTTTAAAGAGTCCTCTCCTGCTGATGTTCAGGTGTATATCAGTAGTGTCTCTACTTTAAAGAGTCCTCTCCTGCTGATGTTCAGGTGTATATCAGTATGTAGTGTCTCTACTTTAAAGAGTCCTCTCCTGCTGATGTTCAGGTGTATATTAGTATGTAGTGTCTCTACTTTAAAGAGTCCTCACCTGCTGATGTTCAGGTGTATATCAGTATGTAGTGTCTCTACTTTAAAGAGTCCTCTCCTGCTGATGTTCAGGTGTATATCAGTATGTAGTGTCTCTACTTTAAAGAGTCCTCTCCTGCTGATGTTCAGGTGTATATCAGTATGTAGTGTCTCTACTTTAAAGAGTCCTCTCCTGCTGATGTTCAGGTGTATATCAGTAGTGTCTCTACTTTAAAGAGTCCTCTCCTGCTGATGTTCAGGTGTATATCAGTAGTGTCTCTACTTTAAAGAGTCCTCTCCTGCTGATGTTCAGGTGTATATCAGTATGTAGTGTCTCTACTTTAAAGAGTCCTCTCCTGCTGATGTTCAGGTGTATATCAGTATGTAGTGTCTCTACTTTAAAGAGTCCTCTCCTGCTGATGTTCAGGTGTATATCAGTATGTAGTGTCTCTACTTTAAAGAGTCCTCTCCTCCTGATGTTCAGGTGTATATGTAGTGTCTCTACTTTAAAGAGTCCTCTCCTGCTGATGTTCAGGTGTATATCAGTAGTGTCTCTACTTTAAAGAGTCCTCTCCTGCTGATGTTCAGGTGTATATCAGTATGTAGTGTCTCTACTTTAAAGAGTCCTCTCCTGCTGATGTTCAGGTGTATATTAGTATGTAGTGTCTCTACTTTAAAGAGTCCTCACCTGCTGATGTTCAGGTGTATATCAGTATGTAGTGTCTCTACTTTAAAGAGTCCTCTCCTGCTGATGTTCAGGTGTATATCAGTATGTAGTGTCTCTACTTTAAAGAGTCCTCTCCTGCTGATGTTCAGGTGTATATCAGTATGTAGTGTCTCTACTTTAAAGAGTCCTCTCCTGCTGATGTTCAGGTGTATATCAGTAGTGTCTCTACTTTAAAGAGTCCTCTCCTGCTGATGTTCAGGTGTATATCAGTAGTGTCTCTACTTTAAAGAGTCCTCTCCTGCTGATGTTCAGGTGTATATCAGTATGTAGTGTCTCTACTTTAAAGAGTCCTCTCCTGCTGATGTTCAGGTGTATATCAGTATGTAGTGTCTCTACTTTAAAGAGTCCTCTCCTGCTGATGTTCAGGTGTATATTAGTATGTAGTGTCTCTACTTTAAAGAGTCCTCACCTGCTGATGTTCAGGTGTATATCAGTATGTAGTGTCTCTACTTTAAAGAGTCCTCTCCTGCTGATGTTCAGGTGTATATCAGTATGTAGTGTCTCTACTTTAAAGAGTCCTCTCCTGCTGATGTTCAGGTGTATATCAGTATGTAGTGTCTCTACTTTAAAGAGTCCTCTCCTGCTGATGGTCAGGTGTATATCAGTCTGTAGTGTCTCTACTTTAAAGAGTCCTCTCCTGCTGATGTTCAGGTGTATATCAGTATGTAGTGTCTCTACTTTAAAGAGTCCTCTCCTGCTGATGTTCAGGTGTATATCAGTATGTAGTGTCTCTACTTTAAAGAGTCCTCTCCTGCTGATGTTCAGGTGTATATCAGTATGTAGTGTCTCTACTTTAAAGAGTCCTCTCCTGCTGATGTTCAGGTGTATATCAGTATGTAGTGTCTCATACTGTCTGTGCTGCAGCACCTCTTTTCACCCTCTGTCATAAACCAGAGCCCAGTCTGCTATGATTAGTTAGCTGGCCGGCTCTGTTGTGATTGGGCAACTCACTTAGAGATGTCCCACCCCTTAGCCTATCACGTACAGAACACTCACGCTCCTATTAGCTAGCCTCCAACACATTTGATGTCACTATGTTCTGGAATTTGGGATTTTCGCCTTTGCAGACCATTTACATCCACTAAAACCTATATTACACACTTGAGGAGGGAGAAACCCTAGAAAAAGCCTCTTTAATCGTGAATGGGTCCTCAGAAAGATAGTGGAACAAGAAGGGAAACACACACACCTACACACAGACTAACAGTGAGTCTGTACTGCCACCTTTTGGGGACACGATTTCAAAAAGTTGCGGCAATAAATCACACGTTAATAAACTCAGAAGTAAAACCCTCACATCCTCCAGCAGCCCATAGACGACAGAGCGTTATCTTCCTGGCTCGTGAAGGTTAATCAGACAAACAGAGGGAGATAACGGGGAACTTTATACAACTTTTTGTTGGACGGTTCTGCTCAGTGAAGCCTGTTATTCGACAGCAGCGAGGCGTTCAGGAGATTCCTGCAGATTGGAGGAAATTAGTTAATTTTGTAATCATTATCAACAAACTGATGAGGCAGAGACGGGATGGGAGAGGGATGGCTACTTGCCAACCCTCCCGATTTTCGCGGGAGACTCCCGATTTCACTGCCCTCTCCCGGTTTCCTCCCGGGTCATATTTCTCCCAAATTTCTCCCGATTTCTGACAAAATCAGATTTACTCAGGACTGTTTCCACTCGGACTTTAATACAGCTACACCATTGTTTGGTTTCCATGGTAGCGCGTCTCTTTAGCAGCGCGTGCAACTGAAAGTCTGAAGAGGGTGAGGCAGATAGTCACAGAACAAGAATCGACAACTCGACCCTCTGCTCACTCCTTTCCTGTGAAGTACAGGTCCAGCCCACACACACACACACACACACACACACACACACACACACACACACACACATGCTCCATCAAGGATGGTGCTTCAGGCCGCAAGGCAGTGCACTTACAACTACAATAAGCATGTTAATGTTAATCTAACAGCTCCGGCGATCCACTAACACACCCCCCCCCCCCCCCCCCCCCCCCCCCCCCCCGGCGGTGGTTTTGAAATGCTCCCGATTTCTGAGGTCTCAAGGTTGGCAAGCATGGCAGGAGTTGGACGGATACAATCCTGCAGGAGTTATAGTTTAAATAGATCCTGTTGATTTAAACTGAACCAAAAACTCAATACAGGAAGACAGGTTTCCACCACATAAAACTCATAAATATACTATTTATTTTTGAATTTTTAAGCACAAAAGGGCAAATTACATGCTCTGTCATTGCATAAAAGCATCACACAGGTAAAAGGGTGAACACAATATCTGTGAGATAAAGGAGACAGGACAGGGACAAAGCTAAAAACTGCATGAATGTTAAAAAACGATTTCAAATATACAGTATTAAAAAATTGCTCTAACAATAGCATGATCTG